TTTCCTATGCTATCAAGTCTTGAAACAAGCCTAGTTTAGTAATAACAAGAAAAGCAGCGTTGCGATGCCGTTGCGCTGCGCTGCGTCAAGCTTTGTTATGTTTTCATAGGTATTGATTGCTTCATAACATGTTGATGACCGCATCGCAACCGCATTGTCTCGTCCCTGGCCAGAAGACTGATTACCACGGAAACCAGCATAATAAATGGTAATTACACAACTTATAGAACTTAAAGAAGCTCTACAGTACTCTGCTGGGCCTTTTGGTTTACTATTATTTACAGAATAATAGTTCAATTAATTCCCAGTCAATTTTTTCAGTTGGAAAATAGAGGTCCCATCAGGGAAAATGGCCTTAGCGATAACAATTATACGGAAGTACTGGCTAGTAAAACTTTCTAAATGGCTTTCTGTTCTAATTTCTCATACGCTTTGGCGCCCAGATGACTTGGTTACCGAGAAAAAGTACCAGAACCGTAACCCATTTTTATAGGCCGTGAGAAGGCTTCTTGAAGAGTTATTGATCGATTGGCTAACTCGTGCCAACGCGTCAGCTCGGAGCATAAGTGGGCGGACCACGCCAACGGGGTTGCTATTCGGAATGGGAAAAAGGGGCCAAAAAACAATCTAGCTGAATATGAAGTGTTCTGAACTCATTGATGATTCCTATGATTCGCGCAACAATTTAATCCCAAAAAAATTTGAGAACCCGAAGCTTCGTTATAAAACCGAGTCTAGTATGAGTTTTTGATATAACACTTGAGGTCATGACAAGTCAGAAAACAGTTCACAAATTTCATGGATCGGCTCAAAGCCAAAAGAGTGTTTTTATTGAGAGTCAACTGAATTGCACTTTGGTGTACCACAAAACAAATGGCACAGCTGAAATGTTGTCGCATTGTTTTCATATTATCGCTCCACAACAAGTCAAATGTCCAACCGAAAAACCTCAACTCTTGACCGACAGGGAAAAATTTTGAAAAAACGAAACGAAAGCAAAATGTCATGGTGACACAAGTGACGACGGCGCACCAAGTGAGCTCGATCAATAGTTGTGTCGAGTCGCGAACTCGTCCAAATCGCCCGCCAAGCTCGGACGCGTCGCGGTTGTGTTCTCCTCCTCAGAGATCCACTAAATCATCTTCCATAGAGCAGATTGTTTGGAAACAGAAGTTTTGCTATCCCTCTTATTGCTTGTCTGGGACATTTTCGCCTATTGGGATTCCTCCAGGGCTATTTGTAAATTACCCCACCTCGTTATGCTAAAAGTTCATTTCCCATTGCAAGGACTACTTATTGCATCCTCCGAGAGTTAATCATTATATGCATTGATAACGACGGATCAGTGGGAGGAGTCGCCGCTATGCCACGCACGACAGCTGGATCAAATCCGCCTACTTGTTGGACGCTCACCTGGTGCGGCGCATATTTGAGGAAATAAAAATGATGTATCAAAGCTGAACCATTCCTGAAAATATCAATGGATGTCCAAAAACACCTCTAAATGGGTGATTGTTTCCGGGTGGAAGTAGAAGCATGGCGCATCCTAAGGAAGCTGATCAGCCTCTCTAATCTGCACCCCCTGAGTGGTTTTTTTTTCAAATCGATCGGTCGATGTCTGTTGATACATTTCATTTTTGTTTTCCGATTTTCGATTTTTTCGTACAATGCCAAAGAATCGAATTCTCTTCACGAATTTCAATCTTTGGTATGGTTTTGTCCAACTACACCCATACCTCGCCCATCAGAGGGAAATATAATACTATGTAGAAGAACTAAGCATCGCCGTTGATCAATCCCTTTTTGGGATGCGGCACGCATTCTACTTCCATTTATTCGTAGTGGCGTTTGAATGCGATGTGGCCTATACAATGACTTGCGGGGGCCAGCCGATGTACAAGTCAGTGTTTTTATCCTCCCAGACAAGTCTGGTACCAATTAACCGACCCCGGAGGGATGGAAGGCTTGGTTGGCCCGGGCGACTCACGACCCAGGATTTGATCCCTGGACCGCTCGCGTGGTAAGCGTGCCACTTGCCACTACACCACTTCCGCCCATGAAATAATGTAAGAATTATTATCTAGTAACTAACATTCTATCTGAATCAATTATTGGATATAAATGAAATAGGATGAATAATCTGACGTTGATCGACTCCTTTTTTGTGATGCGCCACGCATTTTCACTTCTACTCAAATGGCGGTGGCAGTTCGGATCCGAAGTTGCCTATACAATGACTTTCGGGGCTAGTCGAACACATAAGTCTATACTTTCCCCAGACATCGTTGAAGACTCGCTAGTGGCTGGGACCAATAAGCCGACTTCGAAAGGTTGGAAGCTGGATTGGCCTGAAAAGCGACAATTCTGAGAGTCAATCATAGGTGCATGGGATTGAGCGAGCCGTGCCCTCGCCTATCTGCTGGTTGATCCACAATGTTGTTTGGCGTTTGAAAGGTCCTAGTAAGAAGTGATGAAGAGAGAAGCTCAAAAATAGGTTTCAGAAAAATTGATGAAATAGCCATGTAACGCATCATGTAAATGGGCTAACTAAATGCTCAGGTAGGAGAATGTGGGTGCTACTTGGCAAAACGTGTTTCACGTCTTTACCACTTTTCTTGGATTTTTCATACCAATAAATGTAAAGTGATTCACTAATTATGGGACAACCTAATAGTTTGGAGCAAGCAAAGTCAGCCGCAGTGCTCTTGTTGATGGTCGTGGTCGTGGCGCAGTCAGCTCCATTCAATACATTGCTGTCGTGGGTGACGGGTTATGCACTTGTCGCCCTGTTCCGAATTCTATGTACCTTGGAGAAAATGAGATTGCCTTCTGATTACGCAGCATGAAATGAAGTGTAGTTCCAAAACCTGCCGCTGGCGCAAGGCACCGCGCGCCCAGTTTTATGAAACATGTACATCTAGGCGCCCACTCACCGACCGTAATATATGGCGAGCAGGGTCAACCGTCCGTTGGACAAAGTCCAACGCATGGCTCTCTAGCGTGTGAGAGTAATGCCGAGAGTGAACGTACGCACGGAGACACAGACGGCTCGCGCAAGGCGAGTGCGAATGCCGGCGCGGAGAGCGGTCAACGTCGGTCCAATGTCGGTCCAACGTAACGGTTGACCCTGGTCCAGACCCGACGAGCCATTACAGCGATACATATATTACTGCCTAATAGATGGTTTGCCGTTGACTTACAAAAAGGTATTCGCTCCTTGAAGACGTTTGTGAAAACGTTTTCATAGGGACTAAACCCGGAACTCTCAAATCTTTTGCGAGTGGGTAATTTGGACTGCAATACTTCTTCAGATCACAAAAAATAGGAACACTCCGGTTCATTGGAACCAGCTGAACGATCACAAGTTACAATGAGAGCAAAGTTTCTTGAATGAGTAGCATTCATCAGATAACATAGTGAGATCATAATTAAACTCGAAATGCAATGGACTGGATAACTTTGTTCAGCGTGGCGGTGCTACCCCTAGGCAGGACATCAGATACTGTAAAACCTGAAAAAAATCGCATTGGTACATTTTTGCAGGAGGGGAAGCTCCAGGGTGAATGTAAAAGTTTAAGCGAAATGGTCCACACACCTAGGGAATTCCATACCCTTGCGAAAAATGGAATTTCTGTATCCGGCAAGAACTGCAGCACCACATGCCCTCCCTTAGTGGATGAGGCCAGTTTTTTTTTCTAGACAGATTCTTTCCGCTAAAATAACTTCCATATATTGAATGTGTCCGTATATGTTTCACGTGGCCCTTTGTGTGCATATCATCCAAAAGAAATTTTTATTCTTATGCCACATACACAATAGCAGGGAGGTCGTGTCAAATCGCCCATGAAGGGGGGGGGGAGCGTGAAAAAAGTTCCAAAAAGTACTATTGATAGGGTTGACCCTGAGGCTGCCAGGTCGTCATATCCTTTCAAAAGAAAATGTCAAGCAACCAGTGATGAAGTAGAAGCTAGAAAGAATCGTATACGAAGAATCGTGATTCACTCACCCATAAAGGCTGGCTCGAATCCCATCATTCAAGATATAAAAAAAGAACAAAAAATATTTGTTTTTTGTGAACACTTCGAAAAAGCGGAAGGAGTGGTACGCGTTCAAATTCCCGCCGTACATCTGTCAAAATGTTGGTTGCGGGAGCGAGAACGGAACGATTCCACTTGTTTTCTCGGAGTGCCTTCACTAGTAACTCTTTGGTTTCTTCACCTAATCCAAAATATCATTTTTCTACTGCATCATATTCCATCGATCGTTTTATCTCTATTTTCCAAATTTGGAAGCTTCACGCGATGTTTTAGATGCTCGACTGATACGTGACCCCCCAAGACGCACTCTTCCATGTGTCCCCTTGTCTCCGCCCTACCTACCCGCGACCGTCCCCAGAGTGATTTTCGTAGCCTTGTTTCTCTTCAGAAACTAAATTTTCTTGCGTGAAACTTTGTGCGTTATCTTTACTGATTGCAACTGACGAATTCATGTTGATAAAAAATGCAAAAGTTTTCTGGGAGCGACCCCTTTTAAAGTCTCTCAATCAACTTTTTTTCTTTCGCCCTTTCTCTTTTAGGAATCGCTTCAACCATTTTCTTTTGTTTTTCTTTTTCATTTTTTCAATCAAGGGAAAAACAAAATAGTAAACGTCCATAGGAAGCGATCCCACAACTACGCACCTATGGTTTTTTTTAAATAGAAGCGACCTCCTATCAAAAAATCAGAAAATGGACTTGGACGCAGCTCGATCATGTAGGGCGTGCGGGTGTTGCCCTACACCTCCAGTTACTGCTCTACCTCCGCAGAGGGAGAAACCTTCACGGGAGGAACACCTATAGGTCATTAAACAGAAACCGTTCGGAAGCTCACTTTCGGGAAGGCAGCGAGGTCAGTTAGTGGGAGGAGCTCCGTCGCAGGTGATTCCAACAACGAAGGAAAAGTCACCCGAACTGGTTGTCCTTCATTCTATTGCGGCTATTCGCGTCGCATAGTCTTCTTTAATGATACCTCCTACAAGCACGTTCTGTTGCATTCTTATCGCATTCGTTACCCTAGGTAAGTCTACTTGAAGCCATTTTGTGAGTTCCAAGGTTCTTAACGCTCCAACCAAATTTTTAGTTGAATCAGACGACAATGTTGGCCACCTCTTCAGGAAGCTGGCAGAAGTTAAACGGAAACAAGGACTTGACGAAACATTTGATACCCACAAAATCTCCTACCCAATCAAACATCATGTCATTGTAAGGGAATTTTTCGCCATTATTGATCGGATCGATCAAGCTCAGTATATTCGTTTCAGAAGCACGTTGAGGTTCTTCCTGTAATCAGCGACTATCATTCAGTGAACAGAGAACGATCGGTTAGTAAGAGTCTTTTCTTATCTTATTCCCTGTTTATTATCCATGGGTAACAGTTACCCACTACTAACCTTCTGCGCAGTCATTAGATCATGGACATCCATAGCTGGTAACTATTCTTGGGTAACAGCTACTCACTCGTAACCTACTGTGCGATCAAGAGATCATGGGAATTAATCGCTGGAAGGTATTCCGTGGGTAGCAGCTTACCCATTAGTAACTTTCTGTGTGGTTATAAGATCATGGCGGGACCTGACCGCGCTAGAAGATAAACACAATGGAACAAAATTAAAAAAAAAACTGAATAACTAGAAAATTCCCTCAGTGGTCGGAATCAATTGGTGTAGCAATGGTAGTGAGTCCGCTGATCAAGAGGCCGTCAGTGACGACTATGTGGCCATGTAACAATGTAACCCCAGTCATTTTTCAATGCAAAAGGGTTGTAAACAGGGTCTGTCCTATCGTTGTTACTTTTCGAAAAATTTTTACGACCCCCTCCCCCAACGTGGATTTGATACGACCCCCTTTTCCCTATCTCCATCTTCCATCAAAACCCCGCCCACTTTTTCCTCCAAAAATGCCGTCGAGCGGGGGGTATATAGTCACTCTGAAACGGTAAATATCTCCGAAAATTTCCTTCTATTTCCACCATTTCAACCCATTTTTTACCTATACTCCCACTACTTCCTTTTCTAGGGGAGTATATACGCCCGCTGAAACGGCAAATTTTTATCCTGCGCGCCCTCCACTCGCCCAGCCTACTACCCACGAAATCTTAGTTTCACCTCAATCCCACACGTGATTTCGAGCGACTAAAGTGGGTACGACCCCCCTCCAAAACTAAACCAAGGTACGACCCCCCGTTGGTACTTGTACCAACGTAGGGTTGACCCTGGTTGTAAATGCAGGCCATGCATACTGCGGGACCCAGTTCAGGTTGTGCTGGGTTTTTGGGCCTTTTGGTTTTTTGCGCACATGACCGTTCAATGTTTAGTTATCAATATCATTATCGATTGCATATCAACGCTCTTTATAACCTGGATCAACGAAATTATCCGTGCGCTAAGCTTCTTGGCGCATGGGTAATTTTGTTGAGATGAGCCATGCTTCCACTTCCCACCACGTTTGGCGGAAGGATCGGAAGTTTCTTTGCCCTAAACATTGACAAGAAGCAGCCCATCGATACTTATATCGTATATGAAAGTTTTAGTACAAGCTCTATATGCTGCTTAGTTCCCCTGAGGTTACCCTCAAGTTATGAGTGACCTATTTAAGTTCTGGTGTTAGGAGTGATCGAACTTTAGTCGCGTGCAGCCCAAAACAGCGACTTCAGCCACTGCACTACCAAACATCACGGATGAAAGCTTTTTTAGTTGTTTTTGATGAAATTCCCATTGAGCTCTATCATTTATAGTATCTTGTAAGAACCATAGATGGTACTTTCAGTCACTCATCGCTTATCATCCCGTATATGGGCCTCTCCATGTCAAGCCACTTTCGAAAGTTTCCTTATCAGAGGTGAGTTTTGAGAGTAGTTTTAAATTTTGACAGATTCGTTTTCAACTATATTTTAACGTATCTTCAACAAGGTTTTGTCCTTTGCAGGTCATGAACCTCCACAGTGGTGTTGCGCATCTTCAAGGTGGACGGTGATGAAAGGATTATCGATTGAGCATCATTACGCATAATTAATCTATTACTGATCTGCATTTGTAAATATCTATGTAATTTGTGTTTGTAAATAAAATTATTTCTAATGAATCTTTCTCCGGCATAGAAGGTATAATGCTTATGGTTAGGCCAATCATGACCTGCCGGGCTCTTACGATCGAGCTCATCTTGAGCTTGCAAAATCGTTCATCTCTGGAGGATGGGTTACTTAGTACCGAGTACCAATTTGCGCAGAAGGGCTATTTCGGAACACGGGTTCACCTACGGTAGTTATTTGTGGTTCAAATAGCGCCTTCAAATGCGTCCACTGTTCGAATTCATCGCCGTATGCACGGCGCATCACTGAGCTCACAAAACCCAACCAGGGTAAACCATCGCGCTGGAAGAATGCCATGCCAGCACGACTCCTGATGGTAGTCCTAGTGGCAGCTCAGCTAGTCATCCCGAAAGCTAGCCCCCGAAATTCATTGTTGGGGTGGAGGATGGAAAGAGGGGGATTGAGGTAAGGTACGAAAATAGCGATTTTCCAAGATTTCCACAAATTTCGATGGGAATTTTTGAACAACACAAAATTCTACTCCATTGCTTTGGAAACAAACAATGTCAGTCCTTCTGAGTATGAGCGCCTTACAAAAA